AGCTGTGCCTCTTTACCCTTGTCTCTAAAATGGGTTTGGTAGTCGTGCCTCCTTCATAGCATTTTTGTAGGGATTAAATTAGCTGAAGCATATAGGCTGCCTAACAGGCGTGCCACGCCGCTGGCTCTAATGCAGTGCCAGACCCTGAGAGGCTGGTAGGCATCCCCCCCGAGAAGCCTGGGTGTCCGAGAGGGGGAGCCCATGTAAAAGCTGGTGCAGGTGGCCTAGCGAGCGGCCACCTCCCAGCTGTGCGAGCGTCCTCAGTACCCTGAGCTGTGAGTAGGTGCCAGGGAGTCGGTTAGACAGAAAGGCACTCTGGGAGAGCCCCTGTCTTCTTGACAGGTCCCTAGCAGGCCTCTTCCCCTGTGGGTGACCAGACCCCTGGGTGCCAGACCCCGTGACCCCCCTGTCCCTCCCATGGTAACGAGCACTCCGATGACCTGGGTGGCATTCCCCTCCTCCCCCGCCCCCCACCCGAGAGACTCCTCCCTGAATCTGAAAGTGGCCTTGAATGGTTAATGCTGCCTGTTGGGTCCCTCAGAGGGAGGGACTTGGGACAATTTCCTTATCCCAGGACCCAGGAGACTTATTGGAGCCCAGAGAGCTCAACGGAAAACATTCTTGACTTTCGGTTGGAAATGCCTGTTCGCAAGACGCAATTGGCCATTCAGTCTTAGTGACTTGAGTCACCGTAGGTCGCGAATCACGGAGGCCTCTGGCTCTCAGGAGGGATGCCTGCACGCGTGGGAAGTCCTGCTCCTCTGCAGCAGTTCGTGGTGTGGCCAGTGCCGACGATGCCGGTACCCCTTGCAGTCATCCGTGGTCTGTGGCTACTCCCGTCTCGGCCGCGCTCTGACTTTACCTGGGCCCTGGGATGTTCTCAGCTCTGCACCGGGGACAGTGGGAGGTCACAGAGTGGTACTTAAATCAGGGTTGGCAGGAGCAGCCCACTGGTAGATGCGAGGTGTCTGGCTGCTGGATTGGAGTCCCGGCTTCCAGATTGGAGTTCCTCTGTGAACCTGGGCATGTTTCTTCCCTTCTCTGTACCTCAGTTCCTGTACCTGGAAAGTGGGCATAGTGATATTACCTACCTCATCAGGTTTTTTAAAAAAAATTATTTATTTAATCATGAGAGACCGAGAGAGAGGCAGAGACACAGACAGAGAGATTCAGGCTCCATGCGGGGAGCCTGATGCAGGACGCGATCCCAGGACCCTGGGGTCACGCCCTGGGCCGAAGGTGGCGCTTAACCACTGAGCCACCCAGGTGCCCCTCATCGGGTGTCTTAAGGATAAGGGGAGTTAGGGATCCCTGGGTGGCGCAGCGGTTTGGCGCCTGCCTTTGGCCCAGGGCGCGATCCTGGAGGCCCGGGATCGAATCCCACATCGGGCTTCCGGTGCATGGAGCCTGCTTCTCCCTCTGCCTGTGTCTCTGCCTCTCTCTCTCTCTCTGTGACTATCATAAATAAATAAAAATTAAAAAAAATATAAAAAAAAAAAAAAAAAAAAAAGGATAAGGGGAGTTAGTACTTGTAACGTGCTTAGAGGGGCGTCTGGCATATGGATAAGGGCACAGTCTGTATTTGCTACTATTATTGCTGTTGGTATTATTAGTATCCTTGGACTCATAGTTTGGGTTTCCATCCGCGTGGAGGAAGCCTGTTGGCAAGTCTTTGTTAAGGTTTAAAGGCTACACAGCCCTGAAGGCTTGATCCCTTTTAAGGCAAGAGGGGACCCGGAGGGGAGGTGCTAGATAAGGCTCATGGGGATGGCTGACCTGAACTGAAGTTTCGGGCACCGTCTCTGCACGTCCCGGGTGGCTAAATCCCATCTGGGGTAGGAGCTGGCCCTAGACGAGGCTACAGGGAAGCTGTAGCTTTCAGTCCGCATAGACCTGCTCCTGCCCTGCAGCCCCAGGCCGCTGCCGGCATGTGCCAGGCCCTGGCTAGGCCCCCACAGAGCAAGGCCGCAGGTGGAGCCTGCCTGGCTCTGGCTGCCCTGTCCCGGCTGACGGCAGGCACACACGACCCCACGCTGAGTCCCCGCGCTCACGCATGCCAACCCCCTCGCATGGTGCATGCGGGTCTTGTGTCCTGAGGGGACCCCAGGCATCTTATGCAAGAGTCTCGGTTCCTTTTGTATTTGCATGTTCTATGTGCCAGGTGTTAAACGGGAATTAATTTTAATGCGACAGAAACTGCCATTCAGCTCCAAACCACCGTCTAGGCCTCAGACTTTGTTTATAGCCCTGGGGTGACAGCAACCACCTGGCCACGCGATGACAGGCCGATGGCCTCCCCCACTGGGAGGCCTCCCTGCCGTGGCCCCCCCCGCCGCCGACAGCCTCCCCTCCAAGAAGCTGACGGCGAGGCCGAGTTTTCCTTCTGTTTGCTGGTGGAGGGAGGCCACCCTGGCAGGGCTGTCGACCCAGCCTGACAGCTTTCCCTGTGTGAAGATTGGCTGACAGAGGCCCAGGCTGAAAATCAGGGAGAACAAACACTATTTCAAAAGGGCCTTGTGCATTTCCCTGCTCACCATCCTCCTGCCACCACCGGTGTGCGAGGGGTGAGCGGCCAAAGGAGGACACCCGTAGACCCCAAAAGGATCCATCATGCAAAAATGCATGCTCTCCATTCCACTTAGGTCTGATGCTTTTAAAAAGCACCTACGTGCTGATGATACTAAAAAACAAAAAACAGAAAAAGAAAGCGAGAGAGGGAGAGAGAAGCAACGGAGGTGGGCTTCTGTCTTCTCGAAGCTCCATTGCTGGTTTCTTCTTTTAGGATTTTGAGGGTCAACAAAGATCTAACAGAAGTTTCACGGTTCTCTCATCTCAGTTTGCAAATCATCAGACACCGTTTTCTGGTGGTTAGAACCTGCTTCCTGCTTCGAGGGGAGAAAGCGGTCGCTGCCCGTCCGGCTCAGCAACCGGGAGCCCGTGTCTTTGTCCTCAGGTGGCAGTTGTTTACATGTGCCTCTCGCCCTTACAGCCGACACCCACTCTAATGATGTGAAAGGATCCTGGGTGCACAGCCAAGTGGTTTGGAGGGTGGGTGTCCAGCTCCGCCACCGATTAGCTGGCTGATGGGGGGAGGCAGTTTAATTCTTCTGAGCTTCAGTTTTCTTTATGGCTAAAGAATCTGTACACACATGCATGCAACTTACTTCTCGGCGTTTGCAGGAGATGACGCAACGGAGAATCCCAGAGGTGCTGGGGACCAGGGACACTGCAGCAACAGGCCTCCCTCCCCTAGCTCTCAGCTCAGAACTCAAAAACAAGGCAGCTGAGATTCAGGAAGTCAACTCTAGGCTCTAGATAGAAGCGCTCACTTCCTGGGGGGACCCATGTCTCTGAGCCTCTGTTGTGTCTCTGATAAACAAGCAGGATCTTCGGATACCTGTGGACCCACCCAGTGAGAGATGGAGTCTGAGTTAAAACCCACTCCATCTGAGTCCAAACTCCACTTCTAATTAACAACACGGTGCCTGGCCGGGCACAGGGGCCCCCATGTAGGCCCAGAGGAAATGCCGGTGTGCTCCTTCCTTGGCCAAGGACTGTGCTTGCGGCTCAAGGCGGTGCTCTGAAGGAATCACACTCCACCAGGATAATTCCAAGGATTTTACCTTTCTGTGTTGGAGTTCACTGAAGGGTGAACTGGGGATGATACTGTCCCAGAGAAATAACGAGTTTTCTATTTGAGGTTTAGAGGCCTTCTGAGATGGTTGCACAGCATCAAGAAGAATCAGATAATCCTTCAGCACCTTATTGGAGATTTTAGATTAATGTCTGCAAAATTCACAGAAGCCCTTAGATGAACTCACTCTTTAACCAGTTGATAGCCATTAGGCTTCATTGTGAATGCCATTAACCCTTGGGAGCCAACAGCCGATCTTGGCTCTCTCTGTCAAGATGTCCAAAATGTGTGGTTTTCTTGGAAATTTTAAGGAGCCATTTACTCATTCAGTAAATATTCGTTGAAATCGACTCTCTGTCACGCTGCTGTGAGAAACACTACAAACAAATGAAAGGTCCTTGCGTTTTTTTTTTTTTTTGGAGCTTCTATCACAGGAAGGGTGATATGGTTATTACTAATATTTAAATGCAAATAAATAAACGAGTTGCTGTGGAGACACAAAAGCAGGGTCAGTGAGGGAGATACCATGGGTTGGCCTCTGTGAGCGGGTGACGTGGAGTCAAAACACAAAACACGATGTTTTGAGGACAGAACATTCAGACAGAGGGCACAGCACATTTGTGTGCTAAGGTGGCAAAGAGCTTAGAATGTCCAGAGGAGCCGAAGGCAAGTTTTGTGCCTGGAACTGAGTGAGCTACTAAGGGTTTTAGAGAGGGAGACAGGAGCCGGCTCACGTAGGCATGTCAGCCATGAAAAGGACGTGTATTCTGGGGGCAACCAGAAGCCATTAGAGGTTATATGTAAGTAATGGAGCGTTGGCACTAGTGGTCACCTTGCTTTTCCTTCATTATTTCCCTGAATTTTTCAGTTTTCTCCAAGTTGCATTACTTTAACAATCAGAAATAAGTCATATGCTTTTTAAAAATGTGTTTGTAGGGACGCCTGCGTGGCTCAGTCGGTGAAGCGTCTGCCTTTGGCTCAGGTCATGATCCCGGGGTCCTGGGATCGAATCCTGCATTGGGTTCCCTGCTCCTCCGGGAGCCTGCTTCTCCCTCTCCCTTTGCCTGCCGCTCCCCTTGCTTGTGTTCTCTGTCAAATACATAAATAAGATCTTTAGCAAAATGAAAAAATCAAAACTTCTTTGTAGAGCAATCGACGGAGGCAGTGTCAGCGTGATGCTCCTTCTGCGTCTTAGCTCGGGGTTGAGCTTAAAGTGTGTGCTTTGGAAGGCCGAGTGACCCTGGAAGGCTCTGGCCAGGGGAGATGTTTGTTTGTTTGTTGTCAACGAGTCCACCCTCCCACAAACCTCTTACTCTTCTCAAATAAGTTACGCCAAAGCATCTAACATCTCTGTTTCATCCCACAGATTTGAACATAACCTGCCGCTACGCAGGTGTGTTCCATGTGGAGAAAAATGGTCGCTACAGCATCTCCAGGACGGAGGCTGCCGACCTCTGCAAGGCTTTCAACAGCACCCTGCCCACCATGGCCCAGATGGAGCGAGCCCTGAGCGTGGGCTTTGAGACCTGCAGGTGGGAGGAAAGCTGGGGGCGGGGCGGGGGCGGGGTGTGGGCGGGGCCCGGAGCCCACAGGCTCCTCCCTGACAGCTGATGGACGGTTGGTTGCCTGAAGGGTCGTCCCCACCTGTTAATTTGGCCAAGTCAACCTGGAACCTGTATGACGACTGGCATTTAAAGCGGGCTAAAGGGAGGTGGGCGGGGGGTGGGGGTGACTGGATGACGGGCACTGAGGGGGGCACTTGATGGGATGAGCACTGGGTGTTACGCTATATGTTGGCAAATTGAACTCCAATTTAAAAAAAATAAAAATAGGGATCCCTGGGTGGCGCAGCGGTTTGGCGCCTGCCTTTCACCCAGGGCGCGATCCTGGAAACCTGGGATCGAATCCCACATCGGGCTCCCGGTGCATGGAGCCTGCTTCTCCCTCTGCCTGTGTCTCTGCCTCTCTCTCTCTCTCTGTAACTATCATAAATAAAAATTAAAAAAAAATTTTAAAAAATAAAAATAATAAAAAATAAAGTGGGCTAGAGACAGCTTTGGGAGTCCTAGTGGGGTTGCCCAGAGGAGGCCATGAGGGTCCAGGTGGGCATCCTCTGGCCCAAGGTGCTTCCCCAGCGCCCTCCCGGCTTTGAAGAAGTGCGCGGTATCATTGTTGGAACCACAAGAAAACGTAAACCGAATGACAGTGTTTAAAATAAATATGTGCTGGGCGCAGTCCTGGCTCTGCAGACTTGGCTCAAAGCAGAGTTTTCCAACTCCCTCCCTCCATCTCTCTGTCTCTGTCTCTGTCTCTGTGCCTCTCATTTGCTTGTTTCTCCTCTGCGTTGCTCTGGTCTGAGACCGGAAATAAAAGGACGTGCAAATGATCAAGATGTATTGTTACAAGTGAGTGGGAAGTGGTCGGAGGGACCCAGGAGACCTCCTGCAAGCCTCTGTCCAGGACACCACAAGGCTCAGGCCCTGGGTGTTGGAATTTCTGGTGACCCCGTGGGGAGTGGGGAGTGGGGCGCGTTAGGCGCTGGCAGTGGTGACAACCACACCGAAGTGGTCTGGTTTGGTTTGTTTTCTCTAGAAGAGCTCCGGGTAATCTGAGCAGCCGCTCTGAAGTTTCTGGCCAGCCGGCAGCTTCCCCTTGTGCTTGCGATGTCTTGTCGTTAGGTAACGTGCTTCCCCTTCCTCTAAGCGCACGCACGCATGCAAACACAGGCTGCTTTTTAAAAGTCAAGCTGCCCAAGTCTTCACCCAAACCGTG